TGCCACTATTTGCACTTGTTTTAGTCTTGGTTTTGCGCTGACTAGCCATTAGCTCATCAATCAGGTTGAATTTAAACTCTGTTTCTCCAAATTGAGGCTATTGAAAGAGCTACAAGTTGGATCATAATTTATTTAGAACCTTTTTACAAAAGACCAACGCAAAGGGTCTGAACTATCCCTTTAACTTGGTGCTAATGGACTCACACACACTGATACACACACTGTACTGAATGGTAGAAAGTGCCAGAAGCTTTCTTATCTTTCGGCGCCTCTTTCAGTTCACTTCACCCACCTTTTTCTCAACATGCTAACAGAAGTGGCTCCTACAGCAACAAACAGAGCAGCCACGTGTCACTGTGTGCACGGCCTGTGTTCCCTCCTCCCCTCACATGCGTACTGTATACAGTACACACACACACACACACACACTGTCCTGCTGTGTGTCACGGGCCTGTCTCATAAGCAGGCCTTTTCTTTCCAGGGGTGCTGCTACATGATAGCTGTGGCCGGTCAGACTGTCTCATGTTACTGCCTCCACAGTGGGCTGCTTCGTTTACACATGAAATATTGATGGTCYTAATTTAACCCCCAGCCTGCTCAGGTGTCCCCTCCAGGCGGGAGGCCTTTTCCGAGGAACCCACACCCACTGAGTGACTAAACCACACCCACTCTGTCACGCAATTGGCTCAGGGGCTGCGTGTAGTTTTCACTCGCCGTTCGACTGGTGCAAAGGCTAACTAACTTTGATGTCTCGGCGTGTTTGTGCACGTCAACAAATACCTGCAGAAAGTTTTTCCTGTAAGTGCGTGAGCGTTACACAATAAATATCAGATGTCTCCTGGTATCTGATGTTTAGGCAACAGATGAGGTATTTCTGTTTTTGTTGGATTTTTTTGTTTTTTTTCCTCATAACATGGTACATRTAGCCCCAAAACTCCAGCTAAATAAATTCTGCTTTGAAAAAAAAGTAACATAAAAACTGTTCTGCAGTACAAATTATTTAATCAAACCCAGTATTACCAGTAGTTATTTGTTGTTTGTGTTTTAAACTTATAATGAAAGTGGATTTTAGCTGCTGATAGATCTAATTTCCAAAACGTTGGCTGGTCCAATTTGCTTTTTTTCTTTTAAATCTACTCACTACAAAGTAGGAAATTAAACAAAAAATATCATGTACTACTGTATATCAGATCGTGCTGTTTGAAAGCGTTCTCTCTAGATTTCCAATGCAGGTCCACGCTCAACGCAAACAAAACACTCATCGGAATCTAATCGTTACCTGTCGACCTTCTCAGTCACTTCACAGAAACAGGTGGTCATTGGCAGCTGTTCGAAAATTTAGTTTACAGCTTTGTAATATGATGACGTGTTAACTGTTGACACAAGGAGTTTGTTTATAGCTTCATGGTTTTGTTTTGTCCCAGCTYTAAAACCGACTGAGACATCACAATGACATCACATTCCAGTGACATCATGGGCTTTAAGACTCGACATTTTCACATTCAGCCATCATTAGTTGCAGAATTTTCGATATTTGAACAATTAGATATTAAAAGTTATACTTGAGCCTGTTTCTGCTRGAAGTTTTTTCCTGTTAAAAGTGAGTCATTTATTCCTACTGTCGCCATCAAGACGTCAGGACTGCTGGCTTCCTTAGATCAGTGTTTTGCAACCAGCATCTGTGACCAAGACAGCAAGTCTTTGTGATGTATCAAGAGCCACAGTATCCAGGRTAATGTCAGCATACCACCAAGAAGGACGAACCACATCCAGCAGGATTAACTGTGGACGCAAGAGGAAGCTGTCTGAAAGAGATGTTATGGTCTAAAACCAGGTGTTTCAGTTTCATTGTCTAACCCCTGTTTATATAATTGAAAATAACATATCTTTAGCATACATTTATTTTACCTTACTCTTCATCATCACCTTTTACATTATTTTTTATTAGCAATACATTTTATCACATTCCATCAAGTCCAATAAAAAAACCTGAACAAAAATCTAAACATACAATAACATTTGGCTACAAAGTTTTTCCAGAAGATATCTGTCTGCGCTAAATGATGTTCTCTGTTGCTCTTCTGTCCATCCGTCCGTTTTCTACCACTTATCCGGTGTCGGGTCACGGGGGCAGCAGCCTAAGCAGAGAGACCCAGACTTCCCTCTCCCCAGCCACTTCTTCCAGCTCCTCCGGGGGAACTCCAAGGCGTTCCCAGGCCAGCCGAGAGACATAGTCCCTCCAGCGTGTCCTGGGTCTTCCTCGGGGCCTCCTCCCGGTGGGACGTGCCCGGAATACCTCACCAGGGAGGCGTCCAGGAGGCATCCTTACCAGATGCCCGAGCCACCTCAACTGGCTCCTCTCGACGTGGAGGAGCAGCGGCTCTACTCTGAGTCCCTCCCGGGTGACTGAGCTTCTCACCCTATCTCTAAGGGAGAGCCCAGACACCCTGCGRAGGAAACTCATTTCAGCCACTTGTATCCATGATCTCGGTCTTTTGGGCACCACCCAAAGCTCGTGACCATAGATGAGGGTAGGAACATAGACCGAACGGTAAACCGAGAGCTTCGCCTTCTGGCTCAACTCTCGCTTCACCACGACAGACCGGTACAACGCCCGCATCACTGCAGATGTAGCACCAATCAGCCTGTCGATCTCCCGCTCCATTCTTCCCGCATTCGTGAACAAGACCCCGAGATACTTAAACTCCTTCACTTGGGGCAGGACCTCCTCCTCGACCCAGAGAAGGCACCTTACCGGTTTCCGGCTCAAGACCATGGTCTCAGATTTGGAGGCACTGATCCTCAAACCGGCCGCTTCACACTCTGCTGCAAACCGCTCCAGCGAGAGCTGGAGATCACGATCCGATGAAGCCAATAGGACCTCATCGTCGCAAAAACAGAGATGTGATCCTAAGGTCACCAAAAAGGATCTCCTCAACACCTTGACTGCGCCTAGAAATTCTGTCCATAAAAGTTATGAATAGAATTGGTGGAGTCCAACTCTCACCGGAAACGCAATGCGGACCAAGCTCTGGCACCGATCATACAGGGACCTAATAYCCCATACTTCTGGAGTACCCCCCACAGGAGTCCCCGAGAGACACGATCGAATGCCTTCTCCAAGTCCACAAAATACATGTAGACTGGTTGGGCGAACTCCCATGCACCCTCCAGGATCCTGCTGAGGGTGTGGAGCTGGTCTGCTGTTCCACGACCAGGACGAAAACCACACTGCTCTTCCTGAATCCAAGATTCGACTATCCAATGGACCTTCCTCTCCAGGAACCCTGAATAGACCTTACCAGGGAGGCAATATTGTGCTTTCCACGTCTAAATCAAAGATTTCTGAAAAAAAAAAGTGTAATCTTTTGGCTTCATATTTGGTTAAATGTTACGAGGAATCTGCATTAAAAAGTTTTCTTTTTTATTATTATTCAAGCAAAGGCAATAGAAACTCCACCGTCACAGACTGGAGGACCAGATAACGTCAACAAGAACCAGATTTGGCCCAAGGGCCTTAAGTTTGATGTGTGCAATAAGGCTTCTTATTTTTTGGACCTTTTTTTTTTTATCCTGGAGCAGTAAAATAATAAAATAAACCAAATATCAACTATCAGCTAATCTTATACTACTATCATTATCATTTGAGTAGACTTAAGCTAATGACACCATGTAAAACATATAATTGCCAGTTTAAGCAAACAGTTTTATGGATGTTGCTGCCTTGGTTTTGCATCAGATATGGCTGAGAACACCTAATATTTTCCAGTTTGCAGTAGGTGTTTCATATTACAGGAGCAATGTGGTCTTAATAAACTTTGTATAACTAATTCAATAATGATGGCAGTTTAGAGGTCTATATAAAGATGTTTCCATGAAGTTTTCAGATCAGTTGACTTTGGGTGGCAATAAACCTTTTTGGTCCCCACTAAGAAACTAGTTGTTAGCTCAGCTTWTCAATCAGATTAAAGACATTTTTTACCAAATTAAGGTCATGCAAAAAGCTATCTACAACAGGTAAGATTGCTTAAACTGTCTCGATGGAAACCCACGTTAAAAACCCCTTTGATCATTTCCACTGACAGTTTAACACATTTAAGGAGAAGAAAGCAAGAAGACCTGAAAGAAAACTGTTCATTGCTGTGACTCAGCGAAARCATGAATATTTACCAATAATAATGATTTCATTCCTCTTTGAACAGCTGGAAGTRTATTATTAATTCTTAACTGTAAAAATCAAATGCTAGAGCCTCTGACGGACTGAGGTGGTCCAGAGYAGCGCAAGTCCATTCCCATGTCAATCAAAAGTATCCCAACTGCTATTGGCTCATCGGGTGCTGCAGGGAGGAGCCGAGGAGCTCAGTGTTTTTATGCCTTGTCATTCAAATTTAAGTCACATATTTGAACAAATCTCAGCCTCATGGAGCTCCTGAAACATTTTCCCCTCCTAGATCTACAGAGATATTAGGTGGATCTGTTTGCTCTCCAGATCAGAATTTCACACACGTGGTTTATTTTTATCCTTTTAAGACATACGTGCGTGTTGCTATGTGGGTGTTTCTGCCTCTCTCCCTACATGCTCCTACAGTAAGATGATGCAACTCTTACATTTTTGACATTTAGCTTAGAGGCAGTAATAAACCTTTCTGCGTCCCCTGTACTTGGTATGCAATGTGAGAAGGAAAAAAAAAAAGTTCTCCACAAGCGTTATGGCCTGATTTGCCTTACTAGGACAAGCCAACACGAAGTCATCGGCAGGAGGGTTTATACAAACTCCCACTTGTCTCCTCATACCCCCTCCCCACCCCCCAGCATCCCAGTTACAGCATGCTCCTGTTGCTAAGCAACCAGCTGGGTGAAGAGGGAAAGAGAGCCGTCGTGGATGTGGATGGGTACCCACAGCCGAAAGCTCCCGCCTCCCCCGTGAGCAGCRAACAGCTCGACGAGGCACACCGTGGATCATTTTCAGTCGAGCACAGGAAGAATGACATAAGACGCGATAAAGTTCATGGTCTTTTATTTGAAAAAAAAAATTAATAATAATAATAATAAAGTCTAGCATGTACAACTTGGAATGAATGTAAACTGAACTCAGACGAACGGCTGCACAGCTCGCCCCTCACCATTTGCTCTCTGGTCTGAGTCAAAAAACAAGAAAAAAAAACAAAAACAAAAAGAAAAAAAGTGAAGGCCAGTGATTCTCTCTCGCAAGAAAAGAGGACAGACACTCCATCTCAGCAAAGAAAAAAACAAAAACAAACAAAAGCTCACTGTAAGACTTTAAATCCTCCCATTTACTTCTTGAAGAAAAAAAAAAGGGAAAGGACAAACAACTACTAAGATGGCCATTCAAATAAAACCAAAAAGAACATGCTTAACAATTGAAAATGTAGTTTTTGTACATTTTTTTTCTCTCTCTCTTTATCTAGCAATCCACTTTAATGCTTGAAGTGAGAATCTGGTTTATTCTCTCATCTTAACAGTACAGGGCTCTTCTGCAAATACAAAAAATAAAAAAACTGTACCAAACCAACAAGAGGACAGCTTAGAGTGAAATCAGCACGCTCTGGTAGCCCGGAGGAAGGGGGACGGGATGGGACGGGGGAGGTGAGGGGGGGTTTAGTGCTCCGGTCTCAAGCTGCATGCATGAAGAACAGAAAACAGAGAGAAAGAAGAGATGGCAAGCCCCAGACATTTACCACTAGCAAATGGAACTGGAAGGAGTTCGCCAAATGCTTTTAGTCTGAAGATAACAGGGATAGTTGTTGTTGTTTCCTTTGTTGTTTTATTTTTTTTACTCGATGCTAAACTGATCTTCAGGGGGAGGGGGAACGGAATCACTAACCATCGTTTTTCATGCAGACATTTTTTGTACATTTTTATATATTTTTCCTGTGTGGACAGAAGAATATTTTATTTCAACATTCAATTATTTTCTATACAGAAACAGTATGAATAAATGAACATTTTTTAAGAGGTAAGTAAAACATTGTTTTTTTYTYTTTTTATTCTTTTTCTTCTAAGAGGGGCTGGATGGGGCGGGCAAGCTTCACTTTGCAGTCATCATCTGTACAAACTCTGCAGAGACACACAGAGAGAGGACAATCAGGTCATCAGGTTTACCACTCAGAGCGCTCACCTGCTAAACTGCTCCATGCTCTTTATTCAGTTTTTAAATCAACTTCAGCAGGTTCAGAACACGTCCTAATTACTGTCCTTTGGCCAACAGCTTCCACATTCATCTCATTAAACCCACTGGATTAAAAATAAATAAACAAACAAACCCTTTGATGCTCGCACAAGCTACAACAATAAAAACCACAGGATTTTACTGTCCGTAGGTACAATAAGGATGTAAAACAGTTTTAGCCGGGGCTTATCATGAACAGCCTTTCAGAAAATGTGTGCTGAGGGAGCGGCAGCAGAAAGGACGATTAAAGACACTGATGCTCGTCTCTCATTAGACCACTGAGTAACAAACACGGTGTGGAGAGCTCGCGGCCCTCAGAGAAATACGCAGCTCAGAAAATGAAGAAAAGYTTCAACTCTGGCCTAGAAACTAAAAGCTATTAGAGCTCCGCSAGCAGGGGCTCCATTTTATTTATTTCCTTTACCTTCGTAGTTGACCTGWCCGTCTCCATCGATGTCTGCTTCTCTGATCATCTCGTCCACCTCCTCGTCCGTTAGCTTCTCGCCCAGGTTTGTCATGACGTGACGGAGCTCCGCGGCGCTGATGTAGCCGTTTCCGTCCTGGAAGTGGGCGGGGCCAAACGAGTGAAACAATGAGGGGAAAAAGAAAAAAAAAAAAAAAGCACAACTTGTTTGACAACTAGTCTGGCGTAACAAACGTGAGTCATTTCACCTTTATGTAATCCCCACCACCACAAAGCATTCTAATCTTTTGCCATACTGAGCACATACTGCAATACAGATTAATTTAACATATTGTGAAAACCTAAATCTAACGATAACTATACAGTCAGTTTATCCATGGCTTCAAAATTTAATCTGAACACTTTTTTTTCACGGCGAAAAAAAAAAATCGTAATATTTTTCCTTCTCGTTCCCTGCAGGTTTTTTTGTTGTAATTTCTGTGGTCACTTTAGGGGGTGCTGGAACGATATATCTTCATTTCTATTATAATAAAGGGGAAACATACATTCCACACGATTTTAAGATACAATCATCTGTTTTAAYAGATGTTTTTCTGTCATTTCGTCAYGTTRCTTGTTAAGTCTTACTTTACCTTGTCAAATACTCGGAAAGCTTCACGGATCTCCTCCTCGCTGTCTGTGTCCTTCATTTTTCTGGCCATCATAGTCAGGAACTCTGGGAAGTCGATGGTTCCGTTACCTGCAGCAGGTGATCGATGAGGCACATTTAATTCACCAACAGTGCAATTACTTTAAAAACTAACTATGACAAGCGGAGATAATAAAAACCTGCATTTGGCTGATGAGAAGCACCAACAAAAACATCATGTCCCTTTCTTGTTTGACAGTAATATTTAAAAGGATCTAGGACTGCACCGATTAGTTGAAATAATCGATGACGTTGATTATGTAAATTTGTCGACGCCGATTTTTTATTATTGATTCGCTGTATTACATAACCACCACGTGAATGTTTGTGCAA